TCTGTGTTTGGCGAGTTACTGGTATGTGACAGACCTAGGAACAGGAATTAGAAGATACGAACAATCATTGCAAATGATGACATATAATACTTAGGTGCTCAGCACAGGAGGGTGGAAAATACATGGGTGAGGATGGCAGGACTATGCTGTTCTGTGGTAGACCCAGATCTTAGCTCTCCTTTTATTTGCTGTCTATACTTCATTGTCTTAGGGTGCAATGTTGTCATCTTTCACTAGCTGGTAGCACAGGGTTGTAAATTGCTATCAAATGGCAAGCATTAAATCACAAGGCTTTGCTTGTATTCTGGCATATATTAGTGGTGGTGTGGCATCTGAAAGGCCTTCTGCTCATATATGTCTTTGTCAATAAAAATGCTACAAGCATTGCCTGTTTACTCCTCACTGTAAGCAGTACAATAGAAATATGGAGGTATGCATTGTCCATGCTGTGCCCTTATGGTATTAAGAATGATACAATTTATTTATCAGAAAATGTTACTGGGGCAATGGTGGGACTTCAGAATCCTATTTTTTTGCTGGACATGGACTGTAAATACTTGAAGAGTTTTCCAGAACCTTAACTAGCATATGCCATGAGATGTAAACTGAGCCTACATCTTGCTGCTTCTGTCTGTTTTTTTATAGTAGGTGGGTAGACAGCTATTGCTTTCTGCAGCTTTCCTGAATTTTCTGCTGTAGTTCCCTGCTTTTACAGACCCTCAGTCAGGATACGAGTTGAAATAGCTGTTGTCTCTGTGTGGTACAGTGCTTTCAGTGACTGATCAGAATGAATTGTGAATTTGCCTTTGACCTCCGTAGCACCCATGGAAAAGAGAAACAGGTCAAAGTAGCTCACTAATATTTGGAAACCTGCATCAATTTTTAGCTTTTGGTGGGATTCTGAAACATCCAGGCAGTGGTTCTAGTTTTCATTTAATAGAACTGGACAAATAAATATGCTGTGATTTGTGCTTGCAGGCTGCCAGCATGGACTTCTTGATGAGCAGGAAAGACTTACGAGCATAAGCTTCTTGGGTACATCTTATTTCAAACTTGAAATTTTAGGAGGATTAAAAAGTTATACATAAATCATACAGACTTTTTTCCTACTGTCTCCATCATTTTCTTAGAGAAAAAAAGTTGCCAACTGAATGCTTTTACAGTCTTAAGTTGCCTTAAGTAATGCTTATGATTTGAAGTATTCTAGGAACTTAAGGATACCACGGATGGATAAATCTGTTCTGCACACAACTAGCTTTAAGCTAGTAAAATGATTGAAAAATCTTTCAGTAATTCAAATGTACAGCCACAAGACATAACAAAAATTTATTTGAAATCAAGTAATTATCGAAGTTGTTCAGCTTCTGTCACATTACATCTTCATCTGCTTTGGTTGCGTTGGTGTGTGCTTTTGATAAACACTCTGCTTTTTTCATTTGTGTTTTTGTTGTGGATCCAGCAGAGTCTGGCTTTCATGTAGATAATAACATCTAAACCTGTGGCATCTGCATCTCTGGACAGCTGTTTGCAAACAGGTACAGAAGAAAACAGAACAATCACTGTTTAAATCTGTAGTGAGGCCTGTCATTGCTGGACAGCTGTTTTGGCCTCAAGCATCTGAGCAACACAAACGGCTTTTCTTCCCTGAGGTTCTGTTTCTGGGACCAGTGGATAGACTGTGCAGAGCACAGAATTCTGATTAGCTGGATGGCTGGAAGGGCTGTAATACTGGGTTGAGGGATACTTTTGGAATTTTTATTAAAATCCTAGGGATGTGTCAACTTACTTAGTGACCTGTGGTGTGCACTTATTAACATTAACTTGTCTTTTTTCATGATGGGCTTACTGATTTTGTGTAGATTTAGGGGAAGAGTGATGGCTCTAATCATATGAAAAGAAAATTAAAGATTGAGCTTGACTCTAGCTACTTCTCACCTTTGCAAAAAAGCCCACAATGAATATGTAAAATAATGAATAGTACAAAACCAAGGTGAGCCAGTAGTGTGTTTTCCTGTCTTGTAATGCAAAAGCATAATGGACTAACTGAACAGATAATCTTTAAAACTCTTGAATTCTTTCACCTGGGGGTATTGAGGCCTTCCTAGTTCACTAAAGGCTATCAAGATTTCGAGGAGGTTGGGTTGCTTTCCTATGCTGAAGGTGTTGACAGGTAATACAGAAGCAGATTTGGGTTGGGTTTGTAGGGATCATAGTTACTTCAACAGCTAATGAAGGGGCACCAGTCTCATTATCTTGCCTTGCCTGTATCTAGTTCCTTTTACTGTCTCCGTATGTAGCAGGATCTCACTACATAGATGTTGCATGCAGACCTTACACAAGTCCTTGGTATTTACTGATGCTTTAGGTCATCCTCTGACATTTGCTGCCTTTTTTCATGTTCTGCAGTAACCTACTGCTTAGGCAAGAGGCAGTGTGTGATGCCATTCCTTAGTTTTGAAATCTGTTTGCCTGAATGCTTAAGCGGTCCAGGTGTGCTGACTGACTGACCAGGCATTTCTCTGAGTGTTGGGCTGCAGAGGCACTGAGCAAAAACCTTTGTAAGCCACATGGTGTGTGAGATTGAGCTACTAAGTGTAGTAGCAGTTGTTTACTGATGGGGTTTTAGCAAATTCTAACTATTGGTATACTGTCTTTCAATTTGATACTTTCCTTAATAATTTAGCATTACTTTTCATCTTTTAATTCGCTTGCCAGTGGTGCAGTATCAGAAAACAAAAATCTGTAACAAGCTCTTTTACTGTAAGATACTATAAGAATACCTAATAGCATTTTTGAATTTTCAGCTTGCTAAGAACACTGTGTGAAATATAGCCACCCAGTGTAGCTAATATTCAGGTGCTACTGCTATAGAACTACATTTCCAAGCCCAGTTTGTTCAAATGCATTTATGGAGTTACATTACAAAATACTGCTGAATAGAGTGACTTAGTATTTTGAAAATTTCAAGATCTTAACTTCCAAAATGTTTTACAGAGGGATTAACTGTGGAAAAACCCTCTAGATACTCTTTTGTATGACCAATGTTATCTCTTTCTTCAGATTAGTTGCAGTTCCAGTTAATAGTTGGAAAGAGTAAGTAAATAGATCATGCTTGTGATTGGAAAAGAAAAATCTCAGCAGCTTGGTCTTCTGGCCCTTCAAACTTGGAGAAGATTTTCTCTTGAGTAACAGTATGAGGGCAGTAAGGTGCTTTGTGACAAGTCCTCTGTTTTACAAACATCCTCTGAAGTTCTGAGCATGTGCTTTGGTTTTAGTGCACCTGTTTGGTGGAGCTGAAGCTGTTAAAAAGAGCAGTGTAGGATTTTTCAGTTGCATGACAGCTGTGACATTGGGAACACATTTTCTTTTCTCATGAAAGGGAATGTTTGTCCTTCTGAGAGATTAATGGACAGAAAATAATAAAACAGTTATTAGATGGCATACCTTCTAGCCCGATTAGGTATACTTTATAATAATTACCAACATTTTTGGCAGAAGTGCACTTCTACAGCTCTTGACACAAATAGATTTTTTTTTTTTCCTGCAGCAGTTTTCCCAGCAGTTGGTTGGTAATTGGTTCATGTTTATGACTAGTTTTCATGATAGATCAGGTCAAAATAGCTAGAAGGTAAAATTTAAATAAATGTCAAGGTTGCCTTGTTTGAACAGAGACTGAATTTGAGGACAGATAATTGCTAGAAATAGAGGGAGGATCTTTTTAGATAGAAAAGAGAAAAAAAAACTGTAATAGAGAACAGGAAAGAAGACTTCTAATATTTGAAAGACAGTGATGTTAATAATCCTTCAAGAAGTGCTAAGTGACCTTTAGAGATTTCTTCCAAGTGATATTTCTGTTTAAACAGAACACTCCTGAAATTTCTTGCTTGTGTAAAAGGTTGAGAAATTGAAGTAAAACTAAAACAGAAAGGATGAGTTAAGTGAATTTTATTGCTCTTTTTTCAGCCATGTTTTCTCATCTGGCCAGTTAAGCTTACACACCTAACCTTTTAGTTTACTGCCCTGACTGCAAATGTAATGATTTTAAAAAGCTAACAAATGAGAAAAATAGCTCCTGATATTTTAGAACCAAAGAAATACACTGTCTCTGATTAGTTAAAAATTTCAAGGCTTTTTTGCCTTTAAAAATAGTTTTTGAAGGCAGTGTTTGCAGCTTGGTGTGAAAATGAAAATGGTTCTGAAACAATTACTGTTACTATTTGCTTTATTTCACTTTTCACTTTTAGAGCTGTGTAAAATAGGACCCATTTACAGTATTTATAGAGCTTTATGTGTATGTGGCTTTGAAAAGCCTGCTAAATTTTGACAGCCAAGGGTTCTCTGATTTTCTGTATTTTTAAGAGCATGATCAGAATACTGTGAAGAGTTTTGCAAATGCTTAAATGCAAAAGTTATGTGGGCTGTGTGCACTCCTACAAGCCTTTCTTTTCCAACTGTTACGTATTCTACCTTTCAGATCAAATCTTTGCCGCTGACCGTGACTGTAGGAACAGGCATTTAATTTCAGGGTGCAGTTATTTATTTCTCTGGAGTTCATCTTTCTACACTGTTTAGTCCATTTTAAATTTAAATTAGTTTTATAATTTCAATGTGCTTAATGGCAGGTGTCAGAAAGGCAGACTATGTAAGAAAGCCTTTTAATATTTTAAAAGCTATATAGGACTTCCATTGAACCTGTGCCTGCTGATTTAAAAAGTACTAGCTATTGAATGCATTTTAGTGTGGTGTTCTGATTTTGTAGTAGTAGTCAGTATGTTGCTTAGAGGATAAATTTGACAAGTTCTGTTTTCTATTGTTTCTTGATTTAGGTAAGTGAAAGACTCAGATCTTGGACTCTTTGTAACAAAATCCCTAGCAAGACAGAGATGTTTATTTAAACTTCTGTAGGCGAGTCAAAATGATAATGAATAGCATAAGGGTGAAACAATTTTAATGATTTTAAAATCTTGGTTTTTTAAATTTCATTTCCCATTTTGTTATAGGTTGTATATGAGCAAGAAGGAGTTTTCATTCACTCCTCCTGTGGCAAAAATGATGACCAAGACAGCTTAATAGCAGGAACACTGCGTGTCTTAGAAAAGGTATGTGCATAATACAGTTACAGAAATTTTGTGTATTTGTTGGTAAAGCATGTAACAAGTTTGGCAAACCTTAAATGCCTTTTTAAGGTGTAGGATTTTGTAAATGAGCAAACATCACATTGTGTTTGACATAGTCATCATTTATATGTATATGTAAGTTTTAACAAAATCACACCATGACTATATGGCAATAGGTACTTTGCTGTGTAGTGTTGAATTTTTTGTGATCTTATTGTAGGAAAATGAAGTGGTAGTAGACTGGAGACCATTGGATGAGACTTTGGATACTTCTAATATTCTCTGTGCTGGAAAGGTTTGTTTGTTAGTTATCAGTGTTCTTCATTATGTTTCTCTAGAGATTTTATTTTGTGTTAACTAATGCGTAGGTGATCCTATAACTGGAAGCAAAATTCATTTATTATTGGTATTAATAGCTGTATGTGGGAATCTTATTTGCAGACTGCAGCCCAGTTGAAATTATTAGAATACATGTGTAGGTTGACTGTATTTAGTTTGTACTTGGTTCACAAATAAAATAGTAGGGGACTAACTATAAATAGTAAAGACCAAATGAGTACAAGTATATCACAGTCACTAGTCCTCCTGCATCTAGTGTTTTCTAGTTTGGTGATTCACTCTTCATAGTTAGACATGAAAGTGAGAGGTGCTGTTCTAATGCAAAATAAAAATAGAAGTCTCTGGGGGTTCCAAGATGCAGTGATATTTAAGCAGTATTAAGAGGATGTGACTAAATAAAAAAAAAAAAATCAAGTTTTACACTTAAATGAATAGTTTTTTATGTTCATAGAGTCTGCAAGAGAGGCAAGGATATTTTAGGATTTTGGAATTTACTAAGTAAAACCACACAGTTTTAGCCTTAAGTCCAGATTTCCTGTGTTGATCTATATCATGTTTCTGAGAATTTCAGTACATTTTCTTTTAATCTACGAAATAAAGATGCTGATTCTTCATGTTGAATCTGAGGAACCAGGTCAACTTTTATGCCTTGTGTTTTTTGATATTGCTTTTGTTGTTTTTCTCAGGATTCTAGTTCTGTTGTGGAGTGGACTCAAACTCCAAAAGAAAAATGTTCCCGAGGAGCAGACCGTCCAAGTAGTTATGAAGCAGAATGGGACATGGTCACCACAGTCTCTTTTAAGAAGAAACCTCATTCAAATGGAGGTACTTAATAAAAAAAAAAAAAAAAAAAAAAATGGAGGGCTTTTTTATGTGTAGGGTGTTTTGGTTTTCTTCCATGATGGTATCTTGTAATTGAAGAATTGCCTTTTAGGTACAGTAAAATGGAATTTATTAGGACTTGAAAAGTTGGGATTCATTTGTGGTAGCAGGTGAATTTCTGATTGTGGAAAACAATTCGCAAATGGAATGGCTGTCATCTGCCTCTATTTTTTTTCTTTAAATTGATAGAGAATTGTATTGAAAATGAGCATTAAATCTAACTTCTTGCCTCATCATTAGATGTAGTAGCAGTTTTTGCTGCACTGGGCTTGCATTCTTTAAAACAAATGGAATTCAAACTTGGTTTCATGTTAGGAATGAAAATGGAAAAATAAGTAGTTTACTACTCAAATGCATTTCCATACTGCAGAAGCAGGGGGAGGTGGAATGTACATTTATGGCATACATGGGTCTTTTATATGGTCATTTTACTTGGGCAAAATAATTCTATAGCTATACCATTTTTGTGTATGTTAGAGATGTTGAAAAATGAGTTGTGGCAAAAGAACAGTGATTCTCAAGTAATCTTTTTTTCTTACATTCTCACATAGTGTTTTTTTCTTCAATAATACTTGCTTTCCATGTATTATTTCACAGTCTGTTACTGGGGACTATTGTGCTTGTTTTACCATCTTTATAATGGTTTTAAATGTCATGTCTGTCATGTACATACAGGGTTTGGATGTCAGATTATGAATGTTTTTGAGTAAAGCACAGTCCTTGGCTTTTACATGGACACACACAGCATCTCTGTTGGGTGAATATGGTTTATCACATCACTAGTTTGTACTGAATTTTTATCTCCAGTCAGTGAGCATGTCTTCGTCCGTAGTATGTGTCACTGAGCACTACAGACTTGGATTTTGCTCTTTGCCACCTCATGCTTATTTCCAATTGCTGTAATTTGGTGGGAGCAGGCCAGGGGATGTCTCAAATTCTTTTAGACATGCTGGTAAGTTTTACTTTACCTGTCCTCTGGTAAAGTACACTTTCATCCCTTCTCCTTGAATATATACAGTCTTGCACAGCATGTATACAAGCTTGCACACTACAGGAGGAAGGGGTAAGGGAGATATTTCCAATTCCTTTGCCATTATTTTGGTAGCAGCCTTAATATACAGGTTACAGGATTGTAGTGCATATCATGTTTGTTTTGAGTAAGTAGCGCTATCTGGGGGAGGTGCAGGTTGGATTTATCTTGCTGCTGGAATTGGGTACAGCAGATGGACATTTAACTGCTAGATCACATCTGCTGTAGGATCACAGAGTATCTTGAGTTGCAGGTGATCCACAGAAATCATTGAAGTCCAACTCTTGGCCCTGTGCAGGACAACTGCAGGAATCACACTGTGTATCTTGAGAGTGTTGTCCAAATGCTTCTTGAACTCTTGTTAAACTTAGTGCCATGACCCCTTCCCTGGGAGCCTGTTCCCGTGCCCAGGATCCACTGAGTGAAAAACCTTTTCCTATAAACCATAGGTACAGTTTTAGGGGAGTAGCCTGATGGACTTGCTGGCTGTTCTACAAGTCCGTAGAAGACAAGGAGGCTCAAAGAGAAATCCAGAAATAGCACTTAGAGTGCGTGTTTTATTATTAGAACCAATGCTGGTGTTTGTTTTGTTTTTTAGGAGCAGTGACAGATATAATGTATTTATAATTGCTAGCACTGAAAGTCAAACTGAAATAATGTGCTAATTTTGTTTTTAAGATGCTGCAACTCATGCAAACGGAGAAAGCAAGTGGTCGTTCCTGTTCAGTTTGACAGATCTGAAATCAATCAAACAAAACAAAGAAGGCATGGGATGGTCTTATTTGGTATTCTGTCTGAAGGATGATGTGAAGCTTCCAGCTCTTCACTTTCATCATGGAGATAGCAAACCATTGATTAAATGTATTGAAAAGCATGTTGCACTGAGTGAGTAAGTATCAGACAGCTCTTAGTTCTGTAAAATACAGATGACTGGTTTACTTAAATCATGTAATGAATTTCAGATTAATACTTCCTGATTGTTATTCTCTTCCTTTTTTTATTAGTAGAAATAGTTTTTAAAGTGACTGAAACTGTGGTTTCACATAGGCATTTGGAATGTAAACTGAAGTTTAGAACTTGGATTGATTTACGAAGTATTTTAGAGTCTTAAGTGTTATTAGCTTCAGATGCCTCAGTTGCTCCCTCTAGTGGGTGCAGAAGCTTCTTATGAACATGCTGTGTGAAAGTTTACTCCTTCATGAGCTACTTCTATAAAATGGGATAATTTGTTACAATTTGAGATTGTCTCCTTTGTGAAAAATTTGCATCAGTACTTACGTGAGTGTGCAAGGTAATTTATAGTACTGACAACTAAATAAATTGGTATATAAATATTTTCCCCCACAGTTCTGTTCCTCTGTAATTTCTTGCCTGGTCAGTGTTTCACTCTTCATCTTTACTGCACAAATCAACTTTCTGAGTGTGAATATATTTAAGACCCTATCATTCTGTTAAATACTTTGGAGTTGTGTTACCTCCAAGAGTTTTAGCAGGATAAAAACCTTTTTGATCAGCATGGCATAAGTGCAAAATAAAGTAAAATTTTCATCTCTCACCATGTAGGCATAAGTATAATTTAAGAAGCCAACAGATAAACAAGGTTAGATAGAATATGAAGAAATAAATGTGATGTGACATGTATACTTGCAACAACTGTAATATCAGTGTAATATGTTTTCAAAAGTGTTCTGCTATTGTCACTTGCAACACAGTAGTCTGATGACAGATTTGAAGGTGGATAGGGAAATGGCTGTAGGAATCCTTACAGCGGGCTCTTGTTACATTGGTAGCATCACTGAGGTCAGACATGCCTTCCACAAGTAGGGCAGGCTGATGCTGAGAAATACTGAGGAAAATTTTGCTGGAGAAAAGTCAGTAGGACGTGAGTGGTGTATATTTATTGAACTGATTTGTGAAAGGCTTTGACAGTTTCACAACATGGTGTCAGGGTTTGGGATAATCAGAAGTTTTCAATTTCTTGGAGAAGGTAGCATGGTCAGTGTGTCCAGTTTGTGGAATGGTACTGGCTGTAGCATTGTATGTGAGCTTTGTAAAGGAAAAAGTTAGGAAGACCAAAGGAGAGGCTAATAGGGGGGAAAAGATGAACTTGTAAATAGGAATATTCTCTGTACAGTTGTAGATTAGAAAATCCTGAATGACAGCTTAATCTTAAATCCTGAGAGTTTTTTTCTCTAGGTTCCCTTCCTTAAGCACCTCTGAATTTTGTTTCATAGTTTCCCAGGCTCTTCAGGCATAGGGAAACATTGTTGTCCTGCCATCTCCCTCCTTCCTTCCCTCCCTCCCTCCCGCCCTTCTTTTTTCCCCAAGGAAACTGTTCCTTTTTGAGCATACTGCTGTGTTTGCTTATTTGTGGATACCATCTGACGAGCTGCTGGTAAGCTGGGGCAGGTTTTGGGAGCAACTGATAGCAAACACACTGGAAAAAGATCTGTGTTCTATGGTGAGTCACAGTTATATCTTGAGTTATATAACTCATATAACTGAGTTATATGGTGAAAGTCTTAGATCTGTGTAATTTGTTGCCTGTGGACTGCAGCAACATATTTGAAATTTTCTAAGTGATTTCTAGGATAATACAGCAAAACTTGAGGTGATGTGCTGTGCTGCTTGGTACTGCCACTTTGAACTGTTGTAAGCATTAATGAATGCAAAAGCAGATACTTCAGGAACTTTAAAGCAAAAAAAGCAGTGACAGCTATGGAAATTCAATCTGGATGACCTTAAGCATTGACCTGAGGAGGAACTTCCAGTTTTAGTTTTCTTATTCAGTGAAAGTCTCTTCTGTCACCAAATTCTCTTCTGTTGTCTAGTCATGAATTATGACAATTATTTTTTTCTAAGGAAAGAGAAAAGAACAAATAGGCCATCCAAGTTATGGAAATGACAGTCAATCTGTATGTTTCTGTTGTTTCCTAATGGTTGTTCATTCTTTAGTACATAATGTATCTCAGCTCACAACCTCATTTTGGAAAAGATGTTTACTCAGCAGTTTGGATGCCACAAGCAAATATTTGTCAGTATAATTACTCATTGTCCCAACTTGTGTTTTATGAAACATGGGATATTGATATTAAAGCAGAAATTTTAGCTTATCTATATATTATCTTTATGTTATAGGTATTTTCTTATGCTCCTATTACCTCAATAGATTTCGTTCTTTTCTAACACCATTCTTTATACAGTATCATGTCATTGCTGAAATCAGCATGAAGCAGCCAAAGTCATACAGAATAGCTGTAATTTGTTGCCCTAAGGATTATGTGCCTTCTAGTTCGATTGCACCAGTCTAACATTGAGAAAATACCATGTGGACAGATGACACTTTCTAAGTCGCAGGACTATGAGGAAGTTTAAGAAAGTGTATAGCTCACAAATTTTTGAACATTATCTAAGTAGATGTTGATGGCTGCCTGACTGTGCCAGAAGTGTGTGTAATTAAAAGGGAGATATGGTACAAAGTTTTAATTCTTTTAGTTAAGGAAAACATACTGCATGACTCAGACTTTGCCCCTGTGCTGCTCTTTAGAAAAAGTCATTTGAGCTTCATTAACTGTTGCTGCCTCAGAACTATGACTGTGACGTCTGGCTGTCTCAAAAGAAGATCTGTTGTTGCATTTCATATCCGTCAGTGTTTACAGTGTCCTGTCCTGTTGGAATGGGAAAGAGATAAGGCTTATTAAAGTTCTTATCTTTGACTTTAATAACATGGTAGATGATGCAGGTGCTAATAAAAAGAAAACTAATTTTTCTTTTGAAGACTAGAAATAGTGGATTTAAACTTTGTGAGAGAGCAATAGAGAAGTATTTTATAAATGTAGGTCTGTGCAATGGACTAGGGTTGGATAGCAAAGTGCTTGGCTTTCTCCTGCCTGGATACAAACTCTGAGGCTTGAATGTTAGCCTGCTTTCTGAGCTGTTCTCTCTTCTGTCACCTACTGAGCAGTAAATTGGTGATTCAGCAGCTGCTTAAGGAAGTAATAGGGTGCCTGTGCTGAAGAGGTGGACAAAGTGGGATGTTGCACGGGGAGTAGGTATAAAAGCAAAAGAACAGATTCATTACTAGGGGCAGCATGATTTCACTGCCTTTGTTGTCACTACTCTCATGTGCCTTTGGAGCCCTGTTGAGTAGTAAATGTATTGAGCAGGAGTGTACAAATGCAGTGAGTTAGGCCAAATCACATTTGTGTTTTTTAAGCTTTTGGAGTCTACAGAATATACTTGCAGGGCTGTACTGGGATGGTTCTGTTTCACAGTACAGTGGTTCTGTTGTCTTTTAAGCTCCTATCAGTATGAATCTTAGAATTGTTCTGACAGGATCTGTTGTAGTACTATTGGTTAGAAATTTGTCGATGTGCTTTCATACATTGAAAATCAGTTTGTATTCCATAGTGTAATGTTTTACAGGGTTCCATAATGCAAGATTTACCAATTGGTAGAAGGAATTCCTTAATTGTATGGGTGACATAGGTTTTTTTCACTTCCTCTATTATGTTAAGAGAGTTTCAGTATATACTGTGTTGAGGCTGTCATACTACATTTCCTCTATCACATTGTTTTGTCCATTGTCAACACCAGAAGACTGTACTTGAAGGTAGTTTTTGTCACCTACATGTAAATGGAGTTATCTTCCAGACTAATTTCTGAAAAAATTTTCTAAAGCTTAATTTTTTAGGGAATGGAACAGTACAATTCAGAATTAATATGGAAATAACTAATCTTTTGAAAACTGAAGGTCCTGTTTTATGTAGCATTAGTTGGTTAATTTACGCCAAAAGAACGATCTTGCATCAAATCTTTTATTTTTTGCACAAAACCTGAAAGGTGACTTCAAAAAAACAGTAAATGTTCTGAAAACTTTACAGAAAAAACCAGTCATATCCAGACGCCCTTTTTTAATTTTATTGCAGATCTCCACATGATGAACGGGTTCTTCTTGTGAAGACTCAGAAGTCTCTGTCTCAGTCTTTTGAAAATCTCTTTGATGAACCATCATATGGCTTATTACAAGTATGTATTATCTTCAGATTTTTTATTTTGAAGAAATGTATTAACAATTACACCCTACCATGTCACAGGAATATTTGCTGAGTAGTGATTTTACCATTGTAGAAACAATAATGCCATTTATGACATTGTTGTTAATTATTGCCAAGTAAAATGCCATCGTAGAAGTATTGACTGTATCTTAAACCACATGCTTACTGTAGAAAGTGCACTTAATTTTAAGTTTTTTTCTATGGAATGGAAATACAGCAGCAAAGAGGGCAGTATTGGATAAAAATATGGGGGTTTTTAATACTACAACTGCTTGTCATTCGTGGAGCTTATGGACTTGTGAAAGTCAGTAGCAAAATGTGAGTGACTTGAATGAGGCCAGAGGGCTGATCCACTGATGTGTTTAATTAAATAAAATATTCATGAATTAATTACATTAGTTTCTGTATTTAGTTGTCAAATCAAGAATTGCATGGAATTCATAGGAGAGTACGTGATGGTTCAGACTGTTTTCTCTGTGAGGGCAGGGAAGCTGGGTGTAAGATATCTGTTTCATGCCAGGAGCCATTGGATAGCAAACAGTGGATCTGATCTGATCCACTTCTGTGCATAGGTCTGGCTTACTGAGAACATTGCTACCCAGTCTTCCAAATCAGTTAGCAGTATTATCTTCATACTTAAGATACATTTTTTAATCATGTGATGATTGTTCTGTATTACTTACTGCCAATACATGAAACTTAAATAATTTTGAGACCTATGGTACTTTTCCCGATGCATTGCTTTGAGTACAAGAATGACAAATAGTTACATATATAGATGTTAAAAATATATTATAAACACAAATGTTTGTGTTTTGCTTGTTTTCCTTGTTACAACAGAAATGGAAGAAAGATCCATACGTAGTAACAATGGGAAAATTTTCCAAAGTCACCAACTATATTGTTGGTAGTTTACGTTCAAGTGATCCATCAAATCAGAGGCGACCACCGTCAGAAATGGCAGACTTTCTCAATGATACCATTCCAGGGCTGAAGATAAATCAGCAGGAAGAACCAGGATTTGAAGTCATTACACGAGTGAGTCTCTAAATTAATGATACAGATGCATTGATTGTTTTTATGCACTCCTTTAAAAGAATGGTAGGACTTGAAGCATGATGAATTCTACTGTTTATAAAATTTTTGTGGCATATTACTATTTATTCTCAAGAGTTAAGATCATAATCAGTTACTTTCGAATATGTCACTTTTATGCATGCAAATGTGAGTTTCTTTTGAAAGGAAGTTTATAGTTAATGAAATGGTGACTGTAGTTATGTTAGAGGCACTACCTTAAAAGGTGAACGATTTTATGTTCAGTGTTTCCTCTGAGGTCAATTAGAGCTACATCAAGTAAAATTGGAGAATGCAGGCTAAAAACCAACTTTCTTGGATAATATCTGCTAACATTTCAGTTTCTTTTGAGATTAAAAATACTCAATAATGGATAATTAATGTCTAGGGTGTATAAATTACAGATTTATGTATGATTTGAACCAAAGCTAGAATGAATTTATAATTGGTTCATGAATCACTGTGGACACCTGTTGGAGTCTCTATAGATATGTGGAAAAGGTTTATTTTTAGATGCTTGTGATTATTATTTAAACAGCTTACATATTTTTAAAATACTAAACTGTTTTATATGGGGCATTTTTTGAGTTCAGGCTAGTGTTAATATCTTAGCAGTAGCTGTATGAACTATGTAATTCTAAGGAGTTGCTTCCTAGCACTTAATTAATTTATCAGTGAGAAAAAATATAACAAATGCTATATATGGAAAATAACACTGACCTATATGTCTTAATCTGACAAATGCCTTGGACTTCTAAAGAGTTAAAACACAAATTGGTTTGGGGGTTGCTATCATAAAAATATTTTTAGGAAGTAAGAATTTACTTTCTGCTGAATTCTCCGGTACTTAGACATGCAATTTAGGAACTGAGAGACTAAGCACAAACTGGAACTTTTGATGGGTGTTATAAATTCTGAAAGTACATTCATCCTTGGGTTTTTTAAGAGGCTGTGCACAAAACCCAATCTTTCCTGTTACATTGTGCAGTCTGTGTAGGGATAGCATCTCCAAACCCAAGATTTTCAGTTCTCTTGTAAGATGCATGCATGTGTATCAGGAATGTGTTTTTCAAGTGAAGCTCCTGATTGTCCTTGTTTGCTGTGTTGCGTTAGTTTATGGGAAGCTAGCTCAGAGGCATTCGTGGAGTTAGAAGGTTATTTAAAACACACATACATTCTCCAAAATCTGAAATATTAACATATTTCAGGTCCTCAGCACAAGAGTCTTACTCTAAAGATCTGCTTGTGTTGGCCCACACTGCTTGCTCATGTGGGTGCAGCCTTAGATCCTTAGAGTTGCTGACTGAGGTATGTGCATGTGGAAGTGTAATTGCACTGAATATAAGAAATTGGCAAGCTTAGTATCATTTGTGCAGTTGTTGGCAGCTACTGAAGTTCTTCATTGGGATTCACATATAATGCCTTTGTGTGTGTTTCAGATCGACCTAGGGAAACAGCCTGAAGTCAGCAGAAGAGAGCCTGTGTCAGCTGAAGAATGGGCCAAGAATATGGACTCTGAAGGAAGAATTTTAGATGTTGACTACATAAAGCGACTGATATTCAAAGGGGTAATAGTTTTTCTAAATTCAGCAAGACCTATGGCTTGATTCTGGCTTTTACTTTCCTTCCCAAACTGTGGCTATGCTTCTTTCATTACACTTGTAATGTTTCATGCAGAACTTTGAGCATAACCTGGACAGTCATTATTGAGACACTTCATAAAGCATGGTTTCATGCCAGTCAAATACCTCAGCAGTCTTGCAGCTGTGTGAAGTGCTCTGCAAGGAGAGAGATCTTCTTGTGGCTGGCTAAAGGAAATGACTTGAAAAGACAGAAGCTTAAGTGATATAACAAAGGAAAGTGACTTTCAGAAAAAGACCAGTGTTTCAATGTTAGGGTAGATATTTGGTTTATTCTTTTCTCTTACCCTTCTCCAGCAAGAGCTTCTGGTTTTGCCCAGCAGTTTGCTAGAATTAGACCCTCATCAGAACAGTGCTAAACACTTCAGCTGGTATTTTTAGTTTAACTGAGAGGTTTTGTGATATGTTGTGAATTTAGTCTCAGTGATGGATATTTTGAAAACTAATTGTGTCCCATAGCTTTTCTACCTAATGTTACTTCAGTATTTCTATATTTTTGTGGGAATCCAGCTGCCTTAATGCATTCATTGTGTGCCTGCTGATGCATATTTGCAAGCAGAAGTAGAGAATGAGAACACTGTTCTTTAATATTCATGTGCCCCATGTGCCCAATTAAGGACCTTTCCACAATCATGAGAATTACTACAAAACTTTGGTTCCTGTAGCCCACTTTCCTGTCATCTCTGCCCACTGGCAGGAGAGTGAGTGCTCTCTTTTATTTATGACTCAAGACCCCCAAAGTGGGGATAGCAAAAGTTCCTTATTCATATGACTGTACTGCAGGAGTTGCAAGAAGCTCTCTTGATGAGAGGATATGATTCAGCTCCATACATTTTTGTTATCTAAAAATATTGAACATTACTTAGATTTCTGACAAGTAGGCTTCTTGAGTGGACACTAGTATTTTTGACTGAAAGGTTCATTGAAGGTGGGCCATGCCTTGTGAGATTAAAATGTTTGTTTAGAAAAAGCAAGTAACTGGAAGACTAGTTGTCAAGATCACTTTGTGACAAGACCAGAAGTTTGGCAATTGTAACCAGAAGCAGCATTATATTTATATACATACATTTTAAAGGTACTTTTCTTTGCTTCTTAAAGTCTGCTATGCCTGTAAGGTTTTTATTTTTAGCAGTGAAGCAAAAATATAGAAAGAAAATTATTTTCTAAAGTTTCTTTTTTTACTGAAGTGTGAATCCAGTGCTTCTACAGTTTTCTGTTAATCATACTCTGTTCCTCCTGTTTCATCCGAGTATGATACCTAGTTAACATATGAGACGTGGCTACAATGTAAAAAGAAACGGACTTGAAGTTGCTACTTTGAGAAGTGTTGTATCAACCTAGGAATGTTTCCTCTCATTATGGAAATATTTTTGTTGACACTACATATCCGTTTTTCCCTAGGGTCTCTGCCATGCTTTAAGAAAAGAGGCCTGGAAATTTCTTTTGGGTTATTTTCCTTGGAATAGCACTAAAGAAGAGAGAGCAAGTCTGCAAAAAAGGAAAACGTGAGTACGGTATCTTTTTTCTTACAAAAGAAATTTAAAAGCTGCATCTTTTGTTAAGACAGTGATGTAGAAAGTCTTTTGAAGTACACTTGCTAAAATTGTTGAATGCAAGAATATGTGACATTTTCTTAAAAATTTTATACTAAAGACATTACACAAAGAGGGTATTGTTACTCTATCTCAAAGAATAGATGGGATGAATGAATGCTTAAATTAAAAAAAAAAAAGAATGTGAATGTTTGGTTTCAAAATTGTCTTTCTTCTTCAGGGATGAATATTTCAGGATGAAACTGCAGTGGAAATCTGTCAGTGAGGAACAGGAAAAGCGAAATTCAAGATTAAGAGATTACCGCAGCCTTATAGGTGAATTCACATTTAGAGACGTACCTAACTGCACACACGCTTTTAAAAGTTTAGATGAAATTGAAAAAAGTACCCTTTTGAAGAGGCATGAAGAGGCACCTACATGAAAATGCACTAAAAATGAAATGTTGCTCTTTTCAGAGGCGTCTAAACTTGGTTTTATACTTAATATTAAAACTTTCTCAACTAGAGTAACTCAGAACTTAACATATTGGTGTTACAAACTGGCTGGATTTTTAAACTACCTTTATTTAATAACAAAAAACTCTTCATTTTGTGTTATGTCATAATGTGTTTTTACTGGAAATGTTGTTAAAATAATGATATACAATAAGAATGCGAAAATGTGTCTGTTCACATTTTATAATTTCTTATAGGAATTTGTGTATGTGCATTCTGACTTCAGGGGTTTTACTCCTACTTCTAAAAGTTTCATCAAATATGTTGAGTATTAGCAGTTTGTATCCTCAATTCTCTTTGGTAGTGAGATTTGGGCACCAATATTTAGGATTTCTAAATATTTTTTCAGGAGACAGGCCCAGATTTCTTTGTTGTTCTGAGAGAAAGACTAAACTTATTTCAAGCAGTTATTCAAAATGTAAGCTAAAAGGGTCAAGGTAGTCTAGTCTTGGTAGATTAATAAACTACATTTTTAGAGAATGATAACAGAAAAAAAATATTCCGAGTTAAAAAAAGTCCAGCTGTTTGTTACTGTTGAGACAAATATTTTAGTTTTTAAGCGTTTGAAATGTATGTGGCAATATTAGGGTTATGTAGTAAAATATATGCAGAACTACAAAACACTCCTTTCACTGCATTCAAAATTTTGCAAAACTTCATAATACATTGGTTTTGAATTTCACCTTATTAAAGAGTATGCTGTGTGCTTGATATGTTTCAGGCATCAAAACTGCCTGATGAAAGAAGCAGTTTCATCTGCTATGAGTTACAGGAGCTTGTTACACTGTCTTTATAAAATGCTGTTAGGAACTTCACAGTGTCTTTGAGCTGATCAGGTGGGAACTTTCCAACCATGGCTTATGCTGTGTTGCGTCTGTATTTATAAATGGCATTGTAGAGTTAACTTGCATAAAATTGTTTTTAATCCTCTTAAGTGTAAAACATTTTTTCTGAATTACAATCAGGATTTTTTCCATAAAATTCATTATCAAAGAAAAGGCAGAAAGCTTTAAAACATGTTTATAAGCAAATCCTTTCATTGCAGATAGGAAGGATTTCCTTTATTTTAAAATATGCTTTATTTTGAAATGACATTTAGTTATGCAGTTGTCTCAGACACTTCAAAGTTTTGCAACAGTGTTTGAGGAAGAAATCATCAGCTTAGACATTCTGAATTAATTTGATACTGGCTTTTTAGGACTGGTTTTGAAAGAGTTTTTATATCTGGACTGTTTTCTTAGAAAAAGACGTTAACAGGACAGACCGAACAAATAAGTTCTATGAAGGCGAAGATAATCCAGGACTGATTTTACTTCATGATATTTTGATGACCTATTGCATGTATGATTTTGACTTAGGTAAGTTGTGTCCCTTGGAATGTAAAAGCTTCTTTGGTTTCTGATACACAGTTTTGCTAATTCCTATTGATATAATTGAGCTTGTATTGATTACAATGCTTTTTATAAATGTTTTACAAAAGACTTAATATTTTGTAGTATTTAATAATGTAGATAAATACCTTCGGTTTTTCTTTCTCTCTTCAATTTGATGCCTGTCTTAGGCATCTGAACTCATCAGTTTTGGTGGGATTGGGAATTAAGTGGAAGTTTGTCTTCACCACAGACCTACTGTTGTGGGGTTCGTTCTTTTTGTTCTGGGGGGCTTTGTTTTTTCTGGTGTTTTTGTTTCGGGGGTTTTTGTGTGGTTAAGCTTTTGTGGTTTAGGTTTTTTTGTATTAATTTTTTTAATAGAATTGAAGCAGGCTTGCTTTTCAGACTTTTAAATGGGTTTGGGTCTTTGGAGCCTGGAGTGTTACATATATTTTTAGGACTGATAATATCAATAAAAATGATAATCCAGCTGCCACTGCTGTAATTAAAGCTCAGCAAGCTGAACCAGCTGTTTGTAAACATGATATTCTTGTGAATATTTTAAAAGCTGGTTCTTGAGAAGTGCACTTAGCAATCTGTCAAAAATTACATTTTAGTGCATGCATCTGCTGTGGAGGGAAGAACATAAAACATCTTGTTTAATCTCAGTGTTAATGTAATGGCTAAATCTTGGCTTCTTGTTAATTGTCTTGGGAGGGAGGAAAAAGATACTTGTAGTTGGTTCCCTCTCCACCACTGGCATGACATTTGGCTGTTGTATACTTTGGAGTTTTTTTGGGTATTCTATACCAGAAAAGTTTTGGGATTCTAAAAGCCATTCGTGCCAGATTTTGTAAACAAAAAGTAAAATCTTTAACCACTAGTAAACAAGCTGCAGAGCTTTAGTTCTCGTCAGCTTTCGTTCACTCTGAAAGAGGGTCTTGATCTTTGGCTTGAAAAAAGAGAAAACTAAAATTGATGGTTTAAACATGTAGCTCTGTTTCACCTCTTCCCACGTTTCAACATTCATTAATGCACAGTGACATTATAGATGAAAGTAAAGCAGATTCACCACCCACTCTGTTAAAAACATTGTTGAGATGGCTTAAATGTGCACACCAGATAAGTCTTTTGTTTTATAAGCAAGCAGGAATAATGGAAATACAGTAAATTTGACATAGTGACTGTCCAAGGCTTCTACGCATTGGTACAGTGCTCCTCTTAATCTTTTGACAGCAGCTTTAGAGGGGTCTGAATCATGCCACAAACTGCCAGATAGGGGAGGGAACAGAACAGCTGTTAATAGAATATTTTTCTGAATTGATTCCTTAAGTCTGCATTAATGAAATAGGTTTTATTATTAAATAGACTTTCAAACTGTCTCAGACAGAATTTTCTTTGCATTTATTTTTAGTTAGCTGTAGTATTAAGTATATGGGGAGGAAAACTAATTTTTTTTTCTTTTGACTTTTTAATTATTTACCTGTTTGCTGTTACTTTTTCTATTTTTATTCTCACAGCTGCTCCATATTTCCAGTTATTGACTCTAATCCTTTTGTTTAGTTACACAGTTACAGTTGCATCATTGAGAAATAAAGTAAACCAACTGAGAAATGTTATCTTGAACCAATCACTGATGACAGATACACACATTAATTGTGTTCTCTTATTTAGGGAGGTCAGCAACAATTGGGCAATAGATAAGCTGACACTAGCATCAGTGGTAATTGGAAGAGTTGGGAAGAAGAGGAAAAATTATCTGTAAAAATCATTATGCTCTACTTAAACTGTTGGACTTAAACTGTTGGACTATTAATTGCAAACAAGAAAGCTGGAAGAAGCATGAAAAATCTGTGAAAATTTAAAAAATGTTTTTTATATAACTAAAATTTTACAGCTGTTTGTAAAAATTATATGCTTTAGTGGGCATTTTCTTCTCCAGTTAAATTTCAATCTTTTCTTGAAAGTGTGTGAGTACTTTTTAGGTGGTGTGAACTTTATTTACTAGTTCTAGGCACAAAACTTAAGAGCACATCCTTGAATCAGATCTAGATACATGTTGCTTTTGTGCCTCTTGCAAGCAATACTTTACTATTAATTCCCTTTCTTACTTTGACAGGTTGAATTCTTTGTTGTTGTCTGCTTGGTTACACAGATGGTCTTAGACTTGGATGTATTTAAAGTATTGTCCAAGCAGAACAGTCCCAAGTTCCTTAAATAAAGGGATCTTTAAAGCATATTCAGTGACAGAAAAAAAAAAAAAAGAAGTGTAGAATGCAAAGTTTTCTTCATAAGAACTGTTGCACTGTGTTTTTCTGGAATTGCAGCTCAACATCTCTTTAAATGAATTTGAGAAGAAATTCTTCATTTGGGGGTGGGTGAGGAAGTGTGAAGACATTCAAAAATTTTAAACGTCTACAAGAAAATAACCAAGTACAAACAGATTATATACAAGTTTGTATTTGTGATGGTGCAAGGTATAGACTTAATCTTAAAAATATCAATATATGCTCCTGAGTTCTAAATAGGAACATTTTTACTAAAAATCTATTGTGCACAAACTCAGTTTGTACGTATTTTAAAAGCTGCTAGAACAATGTGTTTGCTTTGTGTTCTCTTTAGATTGGCAGAAAGGGCTGATAAACCTTATCAGATCTGCTGGATGTTGGTGCCTATTAATACAAATTTGTCTTTACTGGTAGTTGAATTGGAGAATTATAGTATCTGTATGTGCTAACGTTTGTTTCACTCAGTCATTGATCACACTTGAAAAATTACTGTTTAACTTTTGAGTTGAAATTCTTTTTTTCTTTTTCCCCCCTCTGCTTTTTCTCCGTCAAGGTTATGTGCAGGGGATGAGCGACTTGCTGTCACCTGTCTTGTATGTTATGGAGAATGAAGTAGATGCCTTTTGGTGCTTTGTGTCATACATGGATCAAATGGTAAAATGAGGCTTTTTTGGCCCACATAAACAGATAAGCTACAAATAGTATTTAGGGTTAATTTTACTTTATAAATTTCACTGGGTTTTTAAAATTCTTTTAAAGCAGTCATTTCATGTTTGAAGTCAATATGCTTTTGTTGATTGAGGTTGTGGTGGGTTTGCAATAGTATTGCTGTACAATGCAGGCATATTTGGCTCCTTAAGAATTCCAAAGTAACTGTAACAGACAAATTTGTATTTATCAGGAGTCCTTAAGCAGGATTTTGTTCAGGATAATGATTTCATTGTATACCTGCCTTTTGGCTTTTGTTAAATGCACTTTAGACTTCCTACAAACTGAAGCTATTATGACTTTTGCATGTGACAAAAGAGTGTGTGACTAATGTGAATGTAAAAGAAAATTTGGGTTTTTTTGTTTGAGTGCAGTCATGCTGCTTTGAAGTACAGAGCTTAGGCAGATTTAAACTAACATTTATTACATACAAAAATGTTAGTATAGAAGTACAGTTCAGTGCTTTAATTTAGCATTTGCATTTAGTTAAGCTTCTCAGTAGAAGACAGACATTCATTAGATAGAAGTATAGTTAAACATCCATGTGTTAAATACCTAAAGGGTGAGAACCACTCTTGAAATAACAAAACGTCGTCTAAAATAGCTGCAAATATCAAAATTGAGTTAATAAAAATGACAGTGCTAATGTTTTATTCCATACAGCATCAGAATTTTGAAGAACAGATGCAGGGTATGAAGACGCAACTAATTCAGCTGAGTCATTTGCTTCGTTTACTAGACAGTGGATTTTGCAGTTATTTAGGTAGGTGTATTATTCATGTACAGTAACTGGAACAGCTTCCTGCATTCTGTTCCCTTACCTTATAGAGTTTAAATATAATTCCCATATTAATGAGTACAGGACTTGTAACTTTATAATGCCTAAAATTCTTCAATAATAGCTCCATGCTTATGGAAGAAACAGGGGCATCCTGTTATCAATTCTAAAAATATACCATACTCTGGCAAATACCTTTGATTCTAAAAAGGGCCTGCCATCTTAAAAATTAGTGGTGTGAGCATGTACCTGTAAAGTGTGGGGTTTATTTTTTTTTTTTCACCTGTTCTCTGAATCAAATCTAATGCTTCTGAAATGTCACTCTTATTCCTAGAATCGCAAGACTCAGGCTACCTTTATTTTTGCTTCCGGTGGCTTCTTATCAGATTTAAAAGGGAATTTAGTTTTCAAGATATTCTTCGACTCTGGGAGGTAAGGAAATACTTCAACATACAAATTCAGCAGTTTTTGGCCTTTAGAACAAAAAGCATGGATCATTTTGCAAAGTGTTTAATACTCTGATAAAGTTTTAAAAAAATTATTTGGCACAATGATCTGAGGACAAGCGAACATTTCTTATGTCTTTTTAGCCTAAAAAACAATTTGTGAAGTTAATGAAAAAGTGCTAGTGCTGGTTTGGATAAATTGGCTTTTGCAGAAAGGTTTGGACAGAAGCCTTCAACTGAGACTCTTAAGTAAAAATAGTAAGTGGAGAGTACTTGTTAACTGCTAATGGAAAACAGCTCATGATAAAAGAGTATTTTTTTTGATTAATTCCTTGGTATTGGTGATTCTTTGTAGGTTAAGTTGAATGAAGCACTGTCAGGGTAGTTTGTGTTAGCCAAAACCATGAGGAGGATGATGTCAGAAAATAGTTAATCTTGATGATAAGGACTTGAGATGCCAAATAATATTATGTAAAACATCAGAATGTTGATATTCTGATAATTCTGGGTTAGTAAGATCTTTCTTTGATTTAGATGATGTTGGAATCAAATGGAATAATTAAGATTAACTAATATTTTGGTCTTTAATTTTTTGTTCTGAGAAAAATGAGAAGTGTGTCAACAGTAGAGGTTTATTTTCTAAGATGCATTTAACAGGGGCACGATATTCACTGAAAACTCAGAAGAACAGAATAAATGCTCAGATGAACAGAGGGAGTATTTTTTAGGACATAACATCATATGTGTTGGGGAACAGAAGGGTAATGAAAAGAACAGGGCTGAGATGCATAAAGTTTGTACTATAATGAAAAATAATGTTGTTTTTGGTGTGATGAAAAATAATGCTGATACTTTTATTCACTTTTTCCACTAATGAAAAAGGAGTCACATAAAGAGCAGGACCAGTATTTAAAACTGTCTATAAAGTAAATCTTTTTTAGCTTTTTTATCATCAGTTGGTGGGATTTACTATCATAGAGTATTGAGGTGGTATTTCAACCAGAGGACAAAAGAGTTTATGGATAACAGTCATAAATAAGGAAACCAATATGTACAAAACCAGAATAATTCTCTTGTTCCAAGGTATAAATGACAATGATTTCAGAGGGGAGATGCACTCATCTCTTCCCCCCAGTATTATGTTGTCTTTTCAGTATTTTTTAAGGACTAATTTTTCTTCTTAATTTGATAACAACGGTATTTTTATTTATAGTTTATAGTCCCAGGATGGCATGTTTTTATCACCTCTGCTTTAATGCATATATATGTGTACATACAGAAAAGAAACACACTATATTTCTCTCTCAAGTATATTTTTTTTTTCCTCTCTTAGGAATACAATGAAAACCTGTTGATATATGATAGTCTTGCAGGTTTCTTATAGGACATCATAATGTATGTTTACTACAAGTATTCAATTTCTTTGCTAGGATATATGGAATAGCAAAGGGAATATCTTGTTTTCCTTCTTAAAACAAAGTAATTAAAGCATTATGTTGATGTTTTTATGTGAAGACCAGTGTTACCTCAGTGTTTTTTCTCCAGTGCATAGCCATGCAGCTCCATTGGTATCAGTGAAGTGAGAATTACAAAGGCAAGCTGTAGGCACAGGAGGCCTTTTCCCTTTATAGAGAAATTAACTACTTTTTTTATACTTTTTTGTGTATTTGACTGAGCAAAACCTCCAGTTTTTTGAATTGAGGGAATCCATTTGAAGGCAATATTACGCTGTGACATACTCAGTTGCAGAGCATAGAATGGGGTGAAAGAGAGGTGCCATCTGAGATTCCAGTCCTAGGTTCCAGGACTTCTGGGGCTTTTTCTGTCTAATCTGTTAATTTCAGGGTCCTTGTGGATCTCTGCTTCTGTCCGCTGACTCATATGAACCATTCAGTTAGCATCAGACACTTTTTCTCTGTTCCCACTGGCTTCATGACTTCCAGTGTTCTATCACAAAAAAGGAAAGAAAGATTCTTCACTAGTCTGGTTTCTCCCATCTCCATTCACCTTGAAATGAGAGATACCAGTTCTCATCATCTGGAGCAGAGGCTAACTCCCAGCCTTTGCACTTCCTGAGCACGAGCCATAATCAAATTGTGGTAGAAAATACGTGGTTGTTTCATTGCTGTGTGACAGACTTGCATGTGATAGAGAGGTGACATTCCAGCTTGTGTGGATAAGCTGAGACACATTATGTGAGTGCAGTTATTGGCGATGTTACATGTAATGCCTCTTGTGTGTGGGTTAAACTGCTCTGGCTGTGGAAGGGTTTCCTTATAGCATGTTTTTGCAGTGCTTCTCAAACACAGCCCAGATTTTGTGATACTGACCCACTTCTTTGCTGGCCCAAAATTGAGAGCAGTTCAGTCCCTCCTTGAAACTGGAGATGCAAGCAATATCACCTGATAATTCCCACCAGTTCTTAATCTTTCATTTGCACAGTGGGTGACTTAGAAGAAACCCAGAATAAAAATTCTGTAACAAAATTGCAACTAACTCACACCTGGCTCCAGGATTATTCTAGTACCACTGGCGTAACATACAGCTAGAACAATTTGGGAATAAGTTACTTTACATACATTGGTTCCAATATTCATGGCTGCTGAGGTAGCTCTAGAACAAATGAGTCTTTACTTGTGTAGCTGTATCAGAAAGCAAAAAGAAAAAAATAGCTACTGCTCCTTATTTTTATATTTTTACTTTCATACTTATAATTTAAATGCTGCTTTTTCTTCCATCCTTCCAGCATGTTTTGATGCTGCTGTTGTGCATTTACATACGTAACCTTAAGTGCATGCTCTGCTCCACACTTTGTAAGGTTTATCCAAAATGGTAGCAAAATGCATGGATTTTTTTTCAGCAACTTGATGTTGAACCAAATCAATGCACAACTGTCAGTAAGTCCTTCTTAGGAAGTAGGAGCAGAAGAACATAATAGTGTGTAGACAGACTGTGTTTGGTAGATTATAGACATTTTCATTCAATTGTTATTTTTTATCAGCCTACTTGCATTCCAGTTTCTCTCCTCGAGTGAGAGAATGGTTTAACAGAATATTGGTTGTCTGAAAAAGATGTGAAATTTTATTTCTGAACTGGGTCTTAATTGAAACATTTAAGATTAATTGCACCTTACTTTGGGTGAACTTGGTTTGGATACTTTTGGGATTTATGCAATTCTGTTTACAGGTTATACATGTACTAGTGATGGAAGTTCAAGTATGAGCTCTTGCTCAGCTATAAGGCTCAATTCCATCAATAATGATGAAAAAAGTTTTTTGCTAATGAAGTAACAAATTTTCAGCAGTCTGATTTCTTACCTGCTTTTTTTGAGACTAAATCAATTGTCTTGAAACCCTTTATCTGTCAGGGCAATTTGTGCAAGCAGACTTTTGCTTCTTTCTTGTTTTGTTGGCAAAATTGTTCTCCAGCTTTCTGCCCACCACACAAGTTCTTTTCAAATACTAGTTTTTTAAGGGTTTTTCTAAATGTACTAAAATAGGGTATTAGTAGTGAGGTTGCAATTTTGAGTCCCAGTGAATTTAAGAGTGATTAATTGTGTCCTCCATGGGACCAAAAGCCAATGTGTCTCCAGTCCGAAAGGAATACCCACCCATCCCCAGTACTTGCGTATACATGCCTTTGGGTTCTCATGGTGGTGGGACTGGGAACAACTTTAGCAACATATTTATAAACATTAGAGCCTTTTTAGCTGCTGCTGGGCATGATACTCTTCTGCCAGTTCACACTTAGTGCAGATATTCTAAGCCACACAAATAATTTGTTAGCTTTAGTTACTTCTGTTTCACATGAGCTGAGGCAGAGCCCACATTCACAAGACCACAACCTCAAGAAGTTTTGTAGCATTACAGTGGACAGTATCTCAAGAACCAGATAAGCATTTGGTGACTCAGACTTGTTGTCTATAAAGGGCCAAAAGTAAAATTCCAAATAATTTTATGAATACTTAGTTGATTTCAAAAACAGCTTATTGTTAGCTTAAGTGATTTCAAATTTCAAATGTAGGATTTTTGTGTTTTAACAGGTCATGTGGACGGAATTGCCTTGTCAGAATTTTCATCTTCTCCTTTGCTGTGCTATCCTAGAGTCTGAAAAACAGCAAATAATGGACAAGCACTATGGCTTTAATGAAATATTAAAGGTACCAAATTCTTATGCATTATTGTGCTGGTTTTGGCTGCAGTGAAGTTGTCTTCCTAGTGGCTGGTATGGGGCTGTCTTTTGGGTATTAAATTAAAATATTAGTTAACTTTTTGGAGTTAATGCAATATGATTGTGGTTTATGTTGGGGGAGAGAAAGGTGCCTACCATCTTCTGAAGGGTTAAATGTCAACTGAATGTCTATTCTGCAGGCTTTCAAAATGGTTTGTTGGATGTCTGTGTTTAGTGATAAGATCATTAATAGATCAAAAATGCTTCTCCCCTCAGATGACTGCTTATTATATTTAATACTAACTTTTGCTTTATATTCTATGATCTAATTTATAGTCGCTGAAAATGTGAGCTGCTGGGGGGGAGGTACTTAGGAGGACCAGATAGTTTGTTATGTTTAGAGGTACTATGGATTCCTCTTGCAGACCTTGGATGCTGGTGAAAGGCAGCTGTTCCATACTGTATCTTTGAGTAGCCATTTCTCAAAGCTTATAGACTGTCTAGCATTTCACAGCTCCAGGGGCAGGCTAATAATACTTATTAGCAGTGCAGTACAGTATTAGTGAATTTTGGGTAAAACATAGTTACCATTTATCTCACTTTGTCTTGTGAATCTATTTTTAGCATATCAATGAACTGTCTATGAAAATTGATGTGGAATATATACTCTGCAAAGCAGAAGCAATTTCTATGCAGATGATGAATTGCAAGGTAAAATTATCTATCTACTGTGAATGTTTATAGACAGTAAAAGTATGTAGTTAACTGTAAGTGTTCATATATGACTTGTGAAATAACTGAATGCCTAGGTACAGCGAAGCGTGTTGTGTAGCTGTGCTGTGCAGTGCCTGTGTTTGAGAAGTCTGTAAGCAAGAGTGATTGATTTTATAGAGTAATACTGTTCACTGGGGGAAAGCTGAATTGTGCTTTTTGGTTGTGATTTCTTGACTCTCACTAGGTAACCTCATTCCAAGAAATTTGATGTTTGGTGTGCTTGAGAAAAACTAGTTGAAAGGTGCATTGCATTGAAAGCATGTCAGACTTACTAGGCAAAAACTGGTGGGTCACTCAATAAAACTAATTTTAGTAACATTAAGTGTAGTTGTAATAGTTGATTAGGCTTTTACTTTTGTAATGAAGATTCTGTTGTTAACCAGGAATTGATTCCTGAGTGTGTTCCCTTTACTGTCTTTTTGAAAAGCACCTGCAGAAAATGGTAACTGTAATGTAAGTATTGCTGAGAGAGATGCTCAGATGAATGAGTACTGGGAATGCTGCGTGGACAGAGAGGACTTTGTTGTTAACTTTTTGCATTTAATTACAGTGGTTTTTAATATTTCCCCTGCCACCTCCTTCCTAGGAATTGCCTCAAACAGTCAGTGAGATCCTGGGGATAGAGAACAGTTCAGTAACACCGGATTCAGATACTGGAGAGGATGAAAGTGGAGCTGAGTTGAGTTGTCCGACGTCGCTGTATCAGAGTATCTCAACCCCTGTAATTGCTGCCAATGGGACAAGGGACGGCGCTCAACAGACAGCTGAGACGCAGAGCCTCACACCTGCATAATTACACTCGGTCACCTTGGAGAAAGACTTCTGCTGAGCACGTTTCGGTCAAGCACTTGAGAGATGGATATTTAAATTTGGTGTTGATTAAGCTTTAAGGTTGTAAAGAAAATCTGTACTGTAATGCTTTTGCATTAAAGCTTTACAACATGACTCAACTATTTTTGTAGTTTCTTCTACCAAAATAGCCTTTTGTTTTCAATAACATTCCTTAATATTTTTGTAGCCAAGTGCATTTTCTTTTTGCTGGTAAACTGGAAATGGATGGTGATTAAGAATGAAAGGAATTTCTGCATTTGCTGAGCTTTCACACATACTGATCTAAGACAATGTGATCTCTTTGATTTGAGCAGATTCACAATATGCCAGCTGAAGCTGCTGTACAAAATTTTCAAGCTGAAGTGATGCTGATGTGCTAAAGGAGGATTCTTTTGTAAATGGATTTTTTTTCCTATCTCAAATGTTTACAAAAATACTTCTAAGTATTTGTTGCTGGTTGAATGTAGATTTGAAATGGACATTCATACTTGCACAGTTTAATGTCCAAATACTGAATTTTGTGTAATTGGGAGTGGATGAACAGTATATTTTTACATTAACATATCTTCACTTTATATATACATATATATATATTTACACATATACACACACTATATACACAAATGTTTGTGAATACTAAAATGGATAGTCATATTTTCAATATCTGAATAAACTTGACTGTTCATTCATATGAATCAGTTTTACCAAATTAATGCACAGCTCCAAACTGAGCTCTTTTTCAAAACTTTTCTAACTGAAGGTAACTTTCATGTGAATATATTCAGTCCTACACTTGATGTAATTTTGCAATTGATATCTTGCAAACTTTACTAATGTTCATATTTGCTAGTATATTAACTGATCAATTAACTACTTACACTGTTTTTATGGCAACATTATTTGGAAAATTAATAAGCAGGTTGTAAAAAAGCCAACCCACAAACCACACACCAAAATAGTAATCACAATTAATACTAATGCATTTTTTGTATTTGCAAAAGACAGTGAGTTTATTCCATGCCACGCTGATGTCCTTTGACGTTATGTGAAATTTAACATAACTGATTAAGTGTATTCATTATTTGGTAACTATTGTACATATATAAAATAAAAGTCAAAGCTGATTTAGTGTTTTTAATTAAATCATATTTAGAGAAAAAAAATCTAGTTGTCTGGTTGTTAATGTAAGAACATGAGACAGGGGAGAGTTAGTGGTTAGTCCATGGATAGGACATATTTTGTGGGTAATGAAGGGCTGTGGGAGTTTCTGCTTGTTGCTACAGAATGGAACACGCCTTTCCTCTCTAGCTAGTTGAAGTGTGGGATATGGCAGAGCTTTCTTTTCTTGTGGAGCAGTTTACTTTTACAAATGTTATTTGTGCCATATTAAGCAAATACAAGTAATACAAAAGGCTTTAATAGATAAATCAAGTTGTTACAATAATTTGGGAGTCAGTTCAACTTCTCTCACCGCTTGTGTGCAAACAGTGGACAGCTGAATCAGTATAGATTTAGGTTTTAATATCTTCAATGTGCTATCTCTCATCAGTTAATAAGAACTTGAGTCCTATGCTGTGCAAGTCAAGGATTCACAGCTCAGCATTATCTGTAGCCTTTCATTTCCTGCCCAGGAAATTGCTGTGAAGCATCATGCCTTTGTTCCCTGGTGAGCATTGTACTTCTTGGCAGTTAATTTAATGTGACATAGAATACAGAAAGGCATTAGAACTTAGATATTCAACACTTTGGTTCAAAAATATTAAGCAAGTTAGTTTCAGTATTTTTGGAGCTCCTAGTTTACTTTGAAGTGTACTTGCAAAATGTTTCATCAAAGGTTATATTCAGTGAAACTATGGGAGGAGGAGGGAAATATCTACGACAGAAATGCAGTGGGCAAGCTGTCAGTTAACTGTGTGTGGTTCTTAGTTATTCAGGATGTACAGCCACAAAAAACTATTCAAGATACTGAGATCTTGAAGAACACCATAACTGGGCTGAACATGAATATTCAAATGTTTGGGAAAGGCATATTTAAGTGGAATTCTGTAATCTCTTAGAACTACAGCTATGTCTACTAAGAAAATCTACCAGCCCTTAAAGTAAAGTTTTCCTTTCCTTTTTGGGTATAATTGTTCATCTTTTCCCTTTTTGTTCAGCACTTGGATGTCAAGGATGAGAAGGTTGCTTGTGAGCTAACAGTGAGCAGCTGTGGAGGGCTTGGGCTAGGTAGGCTTGCTCAGCTTCCCAACAATAAGATGAAAGGCCCCTTGCAGCATTCATTGTCTGTAGTTTCCTTCCTGCTGACAGGCAGCCTGGCAAAGAGTTACAGGAGGAACCTCATCCTCCACACCAAACTATTCCTGATTGTTTGGGATGGATTTAGATGCAGTGGAGACTACAAAAACCCTGTGAGAAGCCTTAATCAGGATCTTGATGGCTAAAATGCCATGAAATGCTTTGGGTTGATGGTTCAGGATGCTTAAATTTCTTTTGTGTTTGAATGGCATAGATTGTTTAGAATTAGTAAATGTGAACTCAACCAGAACACAGTTTGGTCACAGTTGTCAGGCCATAAAAGGCAATACTGGTTTAAATCCTGCAAATTTGTTTTGTTTTTAGTGCTTGACAATTGAAGATAATTATCTTCTGTGGGTGAGATTTACAACTTCATATTTTTCAGTCATAGCAGTTTTCCAGTGTTACCTGTTCCAAGGTAAAAATTACCTTGAGATAGTTCTTTCAAAGCCATTTTTTTCTCATTTTGCATGTTTGGACAATTTTATTTGTTTTGAAATTACATTCTTGAAGTTATTTTATTCTGTTTGTGAGCAAGATGATAGCTTACAAAACAGGAATGGAAATAGCTTACAAAATGGAGGTGGAAGTTTCTTGGAAATTTGGACTAATGTGAATGTTTATGAAGTGGTTTTGATCCTGGGAAGTCAAAAACTATAAAAAGATGATCCTAAGTTACCTACAGTCATCACTTAAAGCTTCAGTTCCATTGGGTAGTGCCTGTGCTGTTCAGCTACAGTACCTGTGTTTGCAGCCAGTGAATGCTGTAGCCAGTGGCCTTCAGACCTGTGTTGGGTTAGGAGGTTTTTGTTTTGGTTGTTGCAGGTAATCTTCTTAAGGAAGCTAAGGCTATATGTGTGTTACATCAAGTCCTGATTGCTTTGAGAATCAGATGTAGAAATAGTGTGATATTGAACTATAAATCAAAACAAAAATATCGCTAATACAAAACACTGCATTTAATTTAAGGTGTTTATGTTCTATACAGCCTAGTTTTGTTGCTAATAAGATTTTTCTTAAAAACTTTTAAATTTTTTGAGTGGGCAGTTTTAAAATGCTGATGGTGCTCCATTAATTATTCTCTTCAGTTTTTCCTCACACATTATTTGACAAAATTCCTTGGCCCCAGTCAGCCAAACAGTGAGGAGCTGCTTTCCTCATTACTTTCAAATATGTTCTTGAGCACCAACTTAAAGCTCCATTAATGAGTCTTTTCAGAAAACTGTGAAAAGTGTTCTAGCTTCAACTTTTTGAGATAATATTTTAGTTCAAAATATGTGGGGCACTTGTTCCTCACTTGTCTAAATAATTTTTTGTTATAAGACAGTCACCTAATTTGAAAAAAGATTTTATTTAAAGTAATTCAGCATTCAGAATTTGGATTATGAACTGGTTTTGGCATCACTAGCATGATTTTTGCATACTACTGTGCTGCAAATGAAACCTTACCAAGTATGGGGTTGAATTTCTGTAGATGGAAGTAATATTTTCCTCAAATCATTCCCTGTTAGACAACAGAGATGACAACGCTGAACAGGTTAGCGACATTTTAAAAGTGCATCTGTGAATTGATTCATGTTACAAACAGGACTGGAAAAATGCAATTAAATGGGCTAAGTGCAGGATTAATAATTTGCTCATGTGTTGACTGCTCCTCAGACTCAATTTTCATCATTGCAAACTGAGGTTTGGTCTATGGGCTGCAGAAGAGTGACTGGTAGAAGTTTTACCTGTGGTTGGCTAAATATCTTAAAATATATTTTTCAAATCCGTTGTGTGTTTTTTCTGAGTATTTAGTCAGCGGCTGGAGCAATCTTTGTTTGAAAGAACCATAGTGGGAGAAGTCAGTGCTTGTTCTTACAAGAAAAATGCCATGAGCTGCTCTATGGTGGCTGAGTTTAAAGCCAGAAATCCTAATCCATAATAATTATGTCTAGCTCAGTAATTGGTGCGACCGTGAGCTTTGTATATGAGCATTGATAAGGTGATGATACACAGGTACATAACTGAGCACTTAACAGACAGATTTCATATATGTGTGATACTATATATTTGATTTGAAGATGCTTTCAAATGGTTTTAAGGGTTTTTTTATGGTGTTAAAAGATATGTTGTCCTTCATGTTTAGTGGTACTTCAAAATGTGCCATTCGATTAAGGGATATTGCAATACATACCTTGTATAAACTAAGCTTGAAATTAGTCTTTCATTCAAGTGATGATTTTATTCTTAAACATTTTTTAGAGAATGTGTGCTCTTTTTTCACATTAAATCACAGTATCTTTGGCACAAATTGAATTTTTCTGATGAATTGCAAACAAAAGATATATTGTAAGATACCAATTTTTACCTCATCCAAAATGAATTTCACAGTTTTTCAAATTTTCTATGTAATTCAAAGAGATGAATTCTATTAATTCCATTCTTCTGTTCCTTTCTTCTAGATGGGTTTTGTTTTGAAAGAATTCAATTACAGTGTATATTTTGATTACACAAGCCTGTATAATCAAACTAACATATAACCAACACAAGGCCTCATGCCCTACTTAAACATTAGCTCTTAGACTGTTTCTACAGGTTTCTACAATTGCTGCAGAGCCCAGTGTGCAGGGCCAAAACTGCTGCCCAGGCTTCAGCAGCTCAGCAAAAGGTGGTCCCTTGCGTCCCTTGGAGTGTTGTAGCTGGCCCTGGCCACACACCCACCCAGCCCCTTGACTGTTCCTCTCTTCCATGGGATGGGGAGAAAATGGAAGGCAGGAAGGCTCATGGACTGAGGTAATGACAGTTTAACAGGAAAAGTGCTGCTCCCACAAGGAAAGCACAACGAGGATTTGATGCCCATCAGCAGGCAGGTGTCCATGCACCTCCTGGAAAGCAAGATCTCAGCACAGGTTCCTTGGAAAGTTAAATGCCATGATCATGAATGAAACGCCATGACCTGCTTCCTTCTTTCCCTGAGCTTTTATTACAGAGCACAATGGCATGTGGTGTGGAATGTCCCTTTGGTCAGTTTGGTCAGCTGTCCTGGCTGTGACTGCTGTCAGGCTCGTGTCCCCCCCTGGGAAGCAGCCAGACAACCTGAGTGCTTTGCAGCGTTCAGCAGCCGCTGAAACCCTGCTGTGTTACTGACACTGACCCAGGCACAAACCCAGACACATCACCATACAGACTGCTATGAGGAAAGTGAGCTCCAGTCCCAGCCTGACCCCTTTGGTGTGATGATTCTTGATGATGAATGAGATCATGTTAGGAAAAAAATCCTTGCCATATTGAAGAGGGCTCTTTTTAAACACCCATCTATATCTGATGCAAGAAATAGTTGTATTACATACAACTGGTGTGCAAATGTTCTCTTTTGCTTGCGAAACTCAATGAGAGTTGCAATGCAACACCAGA